GCATAGTCCTTGTATTAAAAGCTAGTAGGAAAAGGGGTAAGGTTTACCGGCACCCCCTCATCGGGTTGTAGTGTGCCGGATGAACCGGAGGACATGTCGGCGGGGCGGAGTCATATACACTAAGTCTGGCCCCTAGGGCTTGCTCTCTCTCCCTACCGAGTGGGTGGACTATTTTCTTTGTAGGTGATGGGGTAATTTCTTTGGCACTAGAATTATCTACATTCGGTCCGATAGAAGGACGACTACGACGACGGCGACGACGCGCCCGCCCTGAGCCGCTTGGCGGGACATGTACCCTCACAGGTGTTATTGGACTAGGCCAAATAGCGAAGTACTGTACCCACTTTTGATAGCGCGCTACACAGTCCATATTCTCGCTCTCACAACAGTTACACTCTTACCACAGCTGGACCAGCAGGTGCCGCAAAGAATGTGCCATGCAACCGGGACTTAACATAAGGACTGAAATCTTCTAACTCCGCCGGTACAACACACCCACGAAGGCGATCTCAGATCAAGAGCTTATATCTCGCTCGGGAGGTCAAGGCCAGATACGAGAATGAGGGCGTTCTCGCGGTTGGGAAGTTACCTTACCGGTAGGACGAAGTACGGTGGGAGCGAACCATGCGCAAAACATAGTAATCACGGTTGAGGATTGGACCCTGATGGTACTACCCAAGCACCACTTCTTTTCAACATTATAAATTATCATAAAAACGAGACTAGAGGCTACCCCCAATGGGAGTCGTTGACCTCGCGAACTACGCGAAAGAAACGATTGCTGACAGCACACAAGATAACCGGCTACGTAGCCCAAGGTGTCTGCGTGTACGGGGAAATCTGGACTTCCTAGTTTCTACCCGTCGAGGCAACTCGTAGTGGAGTTGAACTCATCCCAGGCCACCTTGGTCGACCGAGCCCGTTCTCGTGACCAGATGGCGCGAGCTAACCGGTGAGCCGGGTATGACTAGCACCTATTGTATACACGTTAGAACATGGCCATACTGAGGATTCATCAAGAAGTCATGAAGAATATCCGTGTATCAGAATATGTAAGAATTAAATATCATATAGTCGCAAGGTATAGCAACTCTGGCAGGAGCGCCACCAGGAAACATCAATCGCAAATTACCTCATCATGAACGGTTCAAGGGGGGAGATCTCGAGAGGGATAAACTAACCGTTTGGTGGATGCATTGATGGACGGCACAAACCGTGCCATTGCGACACCGCGCCGGGTCTGGTGAGGAGAGAAAGAAAACTCGAATGGAAGGCTCCGAAGAGAAATTTTATAGCTTGGCTGCGATTACATAATTTTCTCCCTGGGTCCTCTGCAATTTGGGTGTCCGGTCACGTGCTTCATGCCTACTTCCAAGCTAGTGTCAAAATTCAAGCCTGTGAAATTCTTCCCACTTGCAACTAGTAATAACTGCCCCCTGTATATCACCTGGTGCCACGATATTCATAGACCTACCTTTGATATAGAATTGCCACCCCCGCCTCTGTAAGTGACGCATATAACTCGCATCTTTACTGTAAGGGCATGCCGTGAGAGGTAGGTCCTAGAATCTAGAAGTGACATCACCGCTGCCTGGCCAAGCTAGCTGCACCTAACAAGTGGTAAATGTATGTTCGCCCATCACTAATTGAACTGGCCGCTATTTATCCCAAGGTTTAAGAAAGGACATGAGATTCCCCTAGCGATATCCTTGGAGCAGGTGGGTTTTCAAACAATCGAATCGATGACGGGCAAGTCCATTTCCTGGCGAGGAGGGCTCCGTGGCATAATGCAACATCTGTCTACATTTGTATGTGTTTCTACCAGAACGCGACTTTCCATATCGGGTCGCCCTCCTGCAGCAAGTCAATTTAAGCACATCTTAAGGTCACTTGAATGAATATATCAATTTGTCTTCCTCTTCCATCGGAACGTCATTTCAAAGTGGAGTGTCTGGAGGGCGCTAACACCGGCTATATTACGACGCCGCAACCGTATACTACTATTCCGTACGTGTGCTCAATAACGGATCGGGACACCCAATACGGTAAAATATCACTTGCGGTTTAAAAATTTGGATGAATGTTTACCTATTGGGGAGAATTCAAGCATAAAAGTACAACTGGAAAGTCAGGTAAACCACCTAGGGGAAAAAGGGAAGTGGAACGGATCGCCAAAACCGTTTGTGCATTTGGTTGACAACTTCAAAGAGCTATATACCAGTGCGAGTATCATAGACAATATCAAAGTCAATATGTACCAAACAACCCCATTCCTCCCAACTCCTTCTCCAGCGACGAATTCAAAACCATCACCCAAGGCTTCCATCGCCTTAAACCTCTAGACCACCCGGTGCTCACGTTTCCTGACACCAGGGCATATCCAGCTCTCGATATTCAGTGGCAGACGCAGACGCTACAGACGATTATTAGCAAAGTCTTCAACAGCCTAGCTCGGGGAGATTATGGGGACTGATGATGGATGAGGTCATGGGAATTCATGAATGGGGGTAGTAGAACTTACTTCTTGCTGTTGCAGTAGCCACCACCCTTGCCCTTGAGGAAGCACTAGTAGAGAAAAGAAAATGCGTTAGTGAGGAGCTACCTCCCTGGCGGAAGAGAAGGGGCGCGTTTAGCGGCGAGCCACCATACCTTGACCTGGCAGCCCTTGTTGCCGCCGAGGAAGTTACAGGTCCAGCCCTGGCGGGCCTGGAGCTCGCGGGCACTGAGCCCGGCCTCGACGTCGATGTCGATGTCGACGAGGCCGACGAGCTCGGCGATGAGGGCGTCGATGGCCTCAGGGGCGGTCTCCTCGGGGCGCGGGGCGGCGAGGACCATGGGGGAGGCGATGAGGAGGGTGGAGACGAAGGCCTTGAAGAACTGCATTTTGATTGTGGGGGGAAATGATGGTAGCTTTGGGCTTGAAAGTTGTGAGTTGGGTATGTTTAAGAGTTGTGAGAGTTGTAAGAGTTGTTGAGCTGTGTTGTTTGATGGTGATGTGATTCTTGTTCGACAGGTCGAGGAGGGATAACTGCTCTTTTATACTTGAATCTCGGACTGGCTATCGTTCTCCTTTCTACAAAGATCCTCCGTCTTACGTGCCAGGCCCCCCCTTGCGTCTGAGACTGAAGGTGGTGATGCTAGGACGAGAAGCGCAACCATAGCTATCCCCTCAGAGAGGTGTTTGAAAATGATTTCGTTGGTTGTAAGATCATTCGTTTCCCTCAGCCGCGTTGCAACGATTATGTTACTATAAACGGATGGACGATCATGCTTCAGCTGGGAGGCATTAGTCCGAAGTCCGACTTGGCGGTAAGCTCTTATTCACGTCCAACAATGTCTCTTCTCCAAGCGAGCCTGAAATCAGAGGCGAGACAAGAATAGCAGTCCAGGCGGAGGAACGGCCATATGCCCTTAAGACATGCTCCCTATCCAACCAAATTACCATGCAGCGGCGATGCTGATACAGGATTGGGCCCGAGAGAGCTGAGTATCACCGACTACATCTCCAGCCGATGGCTTAGACGGCTACCCGTCTGACGTGCCCAGACATCTGAAAGGAGACCACGCTGACGCAAAGTGCGGGATAACGATCATCCGCCGAGCGGACCGGGGCACCCATCGACGATGGAAATCTTCCAGGCCCGGCAAGCGACGTCTGATTCAGAAAGTCGTTTCACTGGGGAACCTACGTCAAGTGAGAACTCAATTATGGGTTCCTGGCCGTTAAGAGATTCAGCTCCCGCGCTTACCTTTACTAACTTTGGTATCCTGTCGGATCTTACCCCCAGGTGTCATGCAAGGGGTAGGCGCCACGCCAGCCTGACCTCTGCAGTAACTAGTGTTGGCGCTCAGCTATAACAAAGCCACATCGACTATCACCCGTGTGGTTACCAGTGCGTACCGAATGACGTCCTATGCTTCTGTCTAGAATGCTTTCCAGCCCGATTATTGGCGGGCTTCCATGATAATCACGGGGTTAATTACCCCCCGCCCTCCCTAAATGGCCAGGAACGAGTGGGAAAGACGGGAATAGAATCTGTGTATTCATTCCACTCATGCGGGGGCGAAGTCTGATCTAGATCATCTAATCAAGGAAAAGCTGTCGCCGATCCGCGCCAGAGCTGAGCCCTGCCCCGTCCAGCTCCGCCACTGCCCAGCCAAGCAAACTTGGTTCCGAATGGTCAGCCAGCCGCCAAGAGTGTCTCAAAACCAGTTCATGGACTTTTTTGAGCAGCGTACGCCTGTCATTAGGAGCTCGAAGATCGACAGCGCTGAAATTTGGAGTTGCTATATTAGTCCTCGCTTGGCGAATTTCGCCTCCTAGGAAAGTCATGGAGAGATTCTCTTACTCCTCAGCACGCAGCCGTCGCATTCGCAGTAGTTTCCGAAAATGGCAACGAAAGAGCTTGGTACGATAATGATGAGAACTATAATGAGACATCACCCTTCAGCAGTCGTGGATTACGGCGGCGCACGTTTCTGTCTCATTTTCCCGACGAAGTTCGGCTCCCTCCTTTGTTCACACGATGAGCTGTGTACTGGCAACGCGGCGAACGAATATGCCCAGACTCATCCATCTCTTATAAACTCCAAGACAAAAAGGTTTCCCGTCTCCAAAATGCCAAGTCAGTTAATGATTTCCTCGTCGGCCATCACATTGGCGTTTAGGGAGATCTACCCCGTTGATCGGTGCCTCCGTTAGATACTAGTTCAACGGCCTCGAGTAGTGCCTCCCAAGCTCTCCTACACATTTCCGAGAACTCCATCTTCTGGGCGTGTGAGACAGGGTACCGGGTTGAAGATGGCGAGTTCACCTTGGACTCGAGCGCAACCAGCAGCAGCTTCCCCAAGCAGCAGGCTACTTCGTGACTCTGCAGAAGAGCTTCTTCGTTCACCCGATATTTGGTAAGTTAGGACATGCGGATACCCTCGGAACATAGTATACTGCATGTGATATAAGAGATCTATTTGGGTTTAGGCGGTAAAAAGCAAAAAAGAACTGCCCTCAGCAGGAGTCGAACCTGCGACCTCGTCATGGCACTTGATCGACCTCTCGAACTACGAGTGACGCGCTCTACCACTGAGCTATAAGGGCGGTGTACCTGTGACGTGTTGCAAATGTCGCCCAGTGGCCGCTAAGGATTTGTTAGCGTACTGGTGTGAATTCCAACATCTTGCCGGACCCATGTGGTGAAACAGATGTTCTATTATGTTGACTCGTACAGTATGGAAGTGGCAGCTACCCGACTCAATCAGAAGTCTCCCTTGGACATATTGCCGCCGATATAATGTTCCATTTCTCTTGAAACCAACTGGAACTAAACCTGGGGACCAACACAACATAGCATTCCTGTCACATGGCTGCAAGTGAATGGAAATGGCTCTGGGAAAGAGTTGACCCCGTATGCTCCATTCAAGTAGGTGAAACTGACCATCTCTTATATCTGCTCTTGGATAAATTCCATTTCGATTGGCGGATACAGCAGACTCATCTCACCCTGCTCAGGTAAGGTGGATAAAAAACCGCCTGGCCGCGCTTTCTCGGATATATATCCCGTCTCTTCATGCTCCCACATTAACCGGCTGAAAAGAAGCCCTGCCTCGCCTGGCAGTCCCCCCCTTTTACTCCTAGTATCTTTTTTAAAAAGAAAATTGGCGAAATGACCAAAAGAATAATCAATGCACTAGCCCGGAATTGAACCGGGGGCTGGTCGAAGTCGCGGAATGGCAACGACCAAGTTTACCACTAACCCACTAGTGCTTCGATGAGGGTTTCGTCGCCCTTCTGGCATTCTAGACTCATTGTGGACAGGGACCTGGAGCAGTCACTGTACCGTAGACTTCTACACCCATTCACCCCCTTGACCCTCTTCCTTCTGTTACTACCATACTTTGCATTCTAATAGTATTCATCCGTTATTAGAAAATAGGCTAATAGATTACAGAGTGTGTTCTCAGCAGAGATGTTACACCGGGTTAAGAATGCATGCAGCTTACTCTAGCTGTCAACACTATCAAAAGCAAGATCCTCACATTCATGAATGGCATTGTAACTAAAGGTGATAATATTAGTGTATTAGTGCCCTAGATGGTTCAGACCCTGGGAACCTATCTAACTAGGAAAACAAGTATTCTTTGTCCTCTTCGCATCTCATACAGGTATGAAAAATAAGACAAAAAAACAATTGTGATGAATTGATGGTCAGTATGAGGGTCGAACTCATGACCTTGGCATTTACTGGTAAGCCGGATAGCTTATTAGTACCACGCTCTAACCAACTGAGCTAACCAACCGTGCTGGAGATGCTGTGTAGGTCTATTTACAAAGGCTCTCGGTAGCGTATCGTGAAATGATACATCGGATAGGCTTGTTTAAGGAGTAGATAATCTTATTGCTACCACTACCTATCCAGTCAGATTGTGGGTTCTGGTCAAGACGCAGGTGATAGAGGGACGTGGCACGAATACATACATCATAATCCCTGAATATACCGCACTTACTTATCCAGGTGTTGTCAAGACATGGTAAACTCCCGGAGATGGGAATTAACATCGGCAGTACCTGATAGCAGCTGCTAGGCAGTCTTGCTCTGTTGAACTAAATAACACAATGGAGGTATATAGCGAGTACTTTGCCTCATAGGTATGAGGCGTCTTCTCGGGATTCCATCACAGTCTAACCCCACTATTTCCCTATCTCTCACAAGCAAAGGGCGAGTTGTTGGCTTGATGGCGACCCTCGACGTTACATTTTCCCGTCCACACTCCACCGCCCCACCGGCGGGGCCCCGGATGCCTTTCCGTTGATCCAATCACCCCGGTCATATTTGGATATGCTTGCATTTCGCGGTGGCTGTGGGGGTCATGTCCAGCCATTTATAGGGGAAATTACAGGTGACAAGGACAAGGATAACGGGTAACATGCTTGTGCTTGGGGGCAGCCGTGCCAGAGCTGGAGCATACTGAGTACTACATAGGCAGGGGATGACATTTGGTCGTATTGCAGACTGGGATTGCGTCCACTACCCCGCACATGCGAACACCTACACGTATTCGATTCTAAGTTCTCTATAGCCTCTTCCTTCCCTTTGCTTCGTACTTCCGCCCTGTCCGCGGGTTATCCAAGTTTCATACCTCTAACAGGAGACGCTTCTCGGATTGCATTTGTCAGAAGTATTCCAATCATGGGCGACGTGAAGACGCCCACTCCACCAGCTGAAGTAGCAGCCTCGTCTGCCGAAAACGCTGGCCAAACTTCTGCATCGCCTGGGTCTGCTGGCCCTGTCTCGCCAAAGTCGGTCGAGTCGACCGGGTTACCACAGGAGGCTCTTGTTGCTGATGAAGTAAGAAACTTTCGTACCTTGTCTGACATAACCAGCCAGTGGGGGCTTCGTGTTATATTTTCTGGCTTTCAGAGGAATCACCCATGGCTTCTTCTAGTATGATGGAACAAGCTGACCTAGGTATCTCTTCTGCCCCTAGAATGCCACGGTGGACGAATCCTTCGGATTGGTAAGGCGTCCCGTTTCTATCCAGCACATTCGCCAGTCTGCCTACTAAGAGATTAAACTAGGATGGCAACGCAAGTTCGTCGGCATCCCTGTCCTCCAGCATCCTGAAGTACCGCCATGAGAACGGCCGGAGATATCACGCCTTCAAGGACGGAGGTAAACTCCTACCCGCTGACTCCAGATGTTTGTCACTTCCCTAGAGAGTATTTGATTACTGATGTGTGGCCGTTGAATCTCATAGCCTACCTATTGCCAAACGATGACGTGAGTGATATCTACATCTATTAGATTCACTACTAACAACAGCTGTAATACTAGGTTGAAGCGGAGAGGATGGGTAAGTTATGCTGGAAACCTCTGCCACCAGTATAGTAAGTACGCTTTGATTATTAACTTAATACCATACCATCACCAGACCTCCAACACGTGAAGCTGGGCGTGTTGCATGATGGAAAGTTATTCCTGGCACCTATAGATACGCATGCAGTCTCCCGTGTTCTTGATGCTGGTACAGGTACTGGCATTTGGGCGATGGATTTTGGCAAGTCATCCCCTATCCTGACCTTTCTCCTTGCTCCATAGCCCAGCCTTGATCGCTACCATAACGTACTGACTGTATTACCCAGCCGATGACAACCCTCACGTCAAGGTAAGTATTTATACCAAGCCTGAGTAGTACTATCAGAGTTATACTAATATTAATAGGTTATTGGCGTTGACCTCAGTCCTATTCAGCCTGTCTTGTAGGTCTTACCTCGATAGTTTATTTCGCTAGCACTTGGCCTGATATACTAACGTAGCCATACAGTATTCCACCTAACCTGGAATTCTTTGTTGACGATCTCGAGTCATCTTGGACATATACCAACCCTTTCGATTTTATCTATGTCCGCAACTTGACTGGATCAATCTCAGATTGGCTTAAGTTTTACCGTCAGAGCTTTGAGTATGTACCCCCGGCCCTCTTTTTCTCTCGCCCTACAGTCGCTGCGATGCTTTCCGAAAATGCGGATAGTATGGTTGGGCTAAATGCTATAATAGACATTTGGCTCCTGGAGGGTTTATCGAAATCGCCGATGCATGCCTACCCCTTGCATGTGATGATGATACCTTGGATCAGGACTCTGCTCTGTATAAGTGGAGCAAACTGACTGCAGATGCTGCAGCACAATTTGGCCGGCCACTGAGGTCCGCTGGAGCTGTTGTCAGTGAACTATCCGCGGCCGGATTTACAGATATCCAGCAGCATCTCTTCAAGTGGCCTACCAATACCTGGCCGAAGGACCCAAAGATGAAGGAGATAGGTATGAATGGCCTTAGGGTTCCATCCTTGAGTTTAGAAAAGAGATCCGCTCGCTAATATAGAGAAACACTGGGCGGCGATAGGAGCCTTGACCGCTGAGGACTTTGGAAGAAACATATATGGTATCAGCGTTGCCTTGTTCACACGCGCCCTCGGCTGGACGTTGGAGGAGTTTGAGATATTCCTCGTTCAAGTCAGGAAGCAAATGAGGGACCCGAAGATTCATGCCTACCTCCCATTGTGAGTCTTTGTCATTCAACCTCCCTGGCGAGGATATTTGGAAGAGTCGGAAGTGAAGGCGGAATGACTGACACCCGAGAATAGCTACGTAGTCTATGGCCGGAAGCCAGCTGAGAACTGAGGCTAGAATGGTGGAGGAGCATATCTGCTTGACATTGGCTCGGAATTATATTTGAATGTGCACTTATTTCATACGACAGAGACAGTGCCGAGTTGTCTTGACCGTATCCCGGGCCATGTTGATACCCCACGACACCCCTAGGTACCCCGGTGCTTGGAAGGCATGCTAGTTGCCGTGAATTCGATACCTCGTATCTCATACGCAGTCTTCATTGTGTAGATTTCCTCCCTTGTCATGCCGGCAAAGGTAAATTCAATAATGCGTAAGCTGGGAAACCTCTCCGGCGCGCTCGCCGCAAGATTCATGACAGCCCAGAAGTTGACCGTGCTCTTCGTGTACTCGCCACCGAAAACCTCTAGCTTTACCGAGCGGATCGACGCCGGTAGTATATCCACCAGTGCCATATCATCCGTGAATGATGTTGACTTATCAGGTACAGTCACATACCAGGCACCGAGAACTAACTCCTCGAGCGCGGTCATGTCCCTCAGGGATCCGAGTAGCTGGTCGTCCGTGGGCCGAGGGGGTTTGTTCATTCGCTGTTTCCGTGCGTCTAGGCTGAGTTGTAGGTGTCTTAGGTGCCGGGCTGTGGAGAGAAGCTCCGTCCTGATCTGGGAGGCGCTCCCCAGGAGGTCGTGTGGAGAGTCCGTGATCGGCAGTCCTTCGACATAGGAAAGGCTCTCGAGATTAGGCAACGCCTTCATGAGCTCGGCTAATTTCCAAGGCTCCAGTACAGCATGGAGTAGCTTGAGTTCTTTGAGGGTGTCTTTGATGCGTGGGAGTGTAGGGAAGGCAGGGGAGACTGGGGCCTCGAAGAGTTCTAGGGCCATGAGATTCGGAGACCAGGATATCAATCCCCCGACGACGTTCTGAGTTGCTCGCTGCACCACAAGGCGTCGCAGTCTATGTAAAAATATGTC